GCTGCCTCTCCACACCTCCTTAGCTTGCTCTTATGATGAACATGGTACCAGGGAAGATTTCTTTCTCACAGTATCCTTCTCCAGCACCTCAGGTTCAAGTCTAGAGCAAACTCCCTGCTCTTTGCTCAGAAAGCATTTTGTGTTTCCCTCTGCACAGCCAGCACCACACATGCAGTTCAGCGTCTGGAATACAGCACAGATCAGCACTCTTTGGAATGTGAGTGACATRTGCAGTGGGATCTGGGAACCCACAAGAACTTATGCAGGCTGCATTTAAGCACCATCTAGCACTGACCCAATTTCTGCCATCCTCATTGTCTTTTGTGGCCAAAGTATGGAAGCTCAGGGTAAATGAATTCTTCCTTGGAGACCCAAAACAGAGTGCTTATAAAGTTTCCCAAGTTCTATATGACTCTGAAAGTGGAGTTTTGAGATGAGACTAGATTCTCTGCTTCACCAATTTCCTTTGGGTTCTTGTCTCACAAAGTTTGAAGAATAAAATCCATGGACAATTACAGAGGGGAAGAGTAAGTAGAGCAGGATTTACTTAAGCAAGAAAAGATGGAACTCCTGCCTTGTAAGAAGGGTCCTGACAGCAGAACAACCCATTTTATTAAGGCTATTGTCTTCCTTTTCATCCAGGTTCATCCTCACATTTTTTTTTAATTTAACATCCACATGGGTTCACCCCTTTTCTACCTCTGGGACAAAGGAGTTRGCTGGAGGTGTTCCCACAGGTAAGCCTCAATGTATTTTACATTTGAAATGGTCCTTGATGGTGCTCATTAACTGTGTCTACCCCTTAGCCTCCAGGTGTGGTTAAATGGAGCCCATTATCCTGACTGCCTGGTCATTTTACTATCTATTCTATTTTATTCTCATTCAACTCCAGGGTTAGACCTCACTCATGAGGGCACAGAGAAAGATCAGCAGGGCTTTAGCACCCTCTCCTGATCTGACTCAGTGGTATCAGGTGGTCCTGGTCATCTTGGTGTCCTGGGGGAAAAGGATCACTACAGATGGGAAAGAGACCCATGATCAGAACTACCAGGTCCCCAGGGCCCATGCAGAAGAGAGGAAAGGCCAAAGCAGAGGGGGGTAAAGGCACAAGGCAGAATGTGGCACAAGCACCTGGGTGAGGGGTTCCAGGGTGGATGGAGACAACATGCCAGAGGCTGGTGGTGACAGGGAACTTGGTAGATAATACCAGAAGTTGAACCMAGGGGTCCCCAAAGGAGTGGAGGATTGAGGGGCCATTGGATTCTGAGCCAGAGTTTGGAAAATGTGCCCAGATGGTCCCAAAGAGCCATCAAGGTCAGATCCACAGACGTGGAAGAGAAGAAGGACTGGCCCAGAAAGGTGTCCTRGGGACACACCAATGAGGYTGGCAGAAGAGAGACTGGAAAGAAGGATGATGGATTCTGGGCCTCCCAYRRYCAGGTAAGGGAGAAGAAGGGGGAGTTCCTGACTGTAGGTGCTGATCAGGATGGGGCTGAGAAGAGGATGTGAGTACTGGTGGGGAGAAGGCCACACAGGCCTAGCACTCTCCTGTGTCAGTGATCCCAGTGGATCTCAGAGGGCAGGGCCATCTGTCATTTTTCCTTCATCCTGACCTGGCGACAGTCCAAGTCTCAAGGGATGGCCTTTCTCTCTGGGCTCAGTGCAGGACTCTACACTGTTGCTCCTCAAGGGAGCCCATCTTAGTCATCAGCATAACTGGACTTTGGTCAGACTCTCCCAGAGGAGATCCACCCCGAGTAACTGCCCTCAAACACCCACACACRTGGCCCTGTGGGCATGCAGGCAGAGTGGCTGAGCTCCCCAGAATGCCAGCCAGGGGCCTGGGTCCCAGCCCCCAGGGCTCCCAAGCAGGCAGGGGAGTCTGGGCACTCAAAGGCCTGGAATGAGCCCTCTATCRATCCACAGGGCTAGAGGCAGTGCAGTCTTCCTCTCTTGATGACATCTCACAGTGCTGTATGCACAAGGACTCTGCAGTTTCCATGCCCCCTCCAGGCTGCTTGCTGACCCACCTCGGTCTCTACACACCACCAGAAGAAACAGCCTGAGAAATCCATGTGTGTGGAGCAAAGAGCACTGGACCTCGGGTCATGAACCTGGCACTTTGCATTAAAGGCCAATTCTTAGCTATTACATGGGAGGATTCACTGAATTTAAAAACTCAACATCAAGCTGTGTTTCACTCAGGGCCTAGAGCTGTGGGGATTCTGGGAGCCTTCCTGGGTTGCAGGATTGGTCCCCAAGGCAGGGTGTTTATGCTAAAGGATGCGTAGGATCTAGGTAAGTTAAAGGGTAGTGTGGACAGAGAGGTACTGAGAGAACATTCTAGGTAGAAGTCACTGGGTAGGCAAACCCCAGAGATGTAAAACAAACCTCCTCCCAGACTGATTCCCCCTTCTCTTGACAGCCAGTGTTTTGGGGATCACAGCGGAGAACAGGATGCTATAAGTCCAAGAAGCCTGGTGATTATGACTGTTTCTCACAGATGTACCATTTGAACAAATTATCTTTGTACCATTTGAACAAATTATTAGCAACCAGAAGTTATACCTACTTCTTAGGACTAAGACAAGGATTCAAGGGGCCAGTAAACAGAGTGATTAAAGAGGTGTCTAGACAAAGCAACACCCCAATGAATGGAGGCTGCAGTATCCTTTTATCCTTTGCTGAGCCCCCCATTACTCTATGGATAAATTGAAACTGTCCAGTAAATGGAAGAGACTCACCGTGGTGGTGGTGTGTGTGTGTGTGTGTGTGTATGTGTGTGTGTGTGTGTGTGTGTGTGTGTGCATGCATTTTAATAAGATCTAGGCTTAGCAAAACCTGGAGAAAGCTATAGCTGTGTTTGCCAAGTGGACTTTCAAAGACTGGTTCAGAATTTCCAGTCTACAATGAATAGCGTGATTCTCTAGGGCAAGCCTGGGCAGTGCCTGGGTGGGGCCTGGGAGCCACAGGARGGGCCCAGAGCCAAGCAGAGCTCAGAGGGGAGAGGAGGAGGGCAGGGGTGGAGCTGGGCGGAGCCTCCTTACACCACCACACCCATCATCAGAGCTGCCTGAGGGGCAGTGTGTAGCGGGAGACAGACGTGTCCAGTCTGAGTGCAGCCTAAACAGTGTCTCATCTCTCCCTGGGAAAGGGGACCAAGATGGCCTGGTGGAAAGCTTGGGTAAGTGGGGTTGAGCAGGGCAAGTGGCTTCCTGCATGGTGTTGGGTGTTGGGGGGCCCAAGACAACCTAAAGGCAGAACCTCTGATACTGATGTCAGCTCAGACTACACTTGGTCACCTGCTGCATCAAGTCCTGGGAGGAAGTGAGAACAAACTGCCCAACTCTAAAGGAGCCACCACAGGGACAGGAACAGAGTGGGGGAGGTGGACAGATAAAGACACCTTGAAATATAACAGGGAAGTCAAGGTGGGGAGAGTTCAGAAAAAGAATCCCTGCTCTGGGGGGGAGTGGGTTTCGTGCTGAGCCTGAGCAGGGTGTGCACTTTGCCCTGGGGAGAATCCAGCAGACTTTTCTTGGGGAGGGATCAGTGTGTAAAAGGTATGGAAAAGCAGAGAGCTTGGCTTTGGAGGGATGTAGCTTTGAGTGAACTGAGGGCCCTSGGTGGGTTGGAAATGGACCTGGATCCCACTGCCTGACATGTGAGGCTCTTCTCCAGGCCCCATTTTTAGGGTGTGGCCCTTGTTTTTTGGTGTGATGTCTGACTTAGGGGGTTAAGATTGATTTGTGCCTTTCTTGGAAAGACATTTCTGTGTGCCAGTTTCAGTGGAAATCTTCAAGATGGGGTAAGGAAAAGCGTGGCAGCCCTCTTGGGCCCTTCAGAGAGTGTGAAACAGATGTAGCCATAGGATATGAATCACCCTGTGGAAAGATCCCTGTGGGACTCGCTTCCTCCTGGGCTGGTCCCAGCAGGAGCTTGAAGCAAATCTGTAGAGGGGCTGAACTCCAGAGCTCCATTCCAGGTGAGGTGCAGTCTCTGAATCCCAGAACATGGCACCTGTTTTTCTAAAACTATATTGTGGGAAGCAAGGCTCAGCTCTCAATGTGGCAAAACCAGAGTCRGGGAGTTAATAACAAATAATGCTGCCCAACCCTATTTCCCTGGTGATTGGGTCACACAGCCTACTAAGTCATAAAGTCTTGGATGCCAACTTGGGGGCCGCAGGCAGAACTGGAAACAGAATGTTCAGTGTCCCCCAAGGTCCCAGACAACCTGCATTCCTGTGGGTGAGGCCTCCTTTAGTGAAGTGTCCCAGGAAAACCCAGTGTCTGGGACAGGTTGAGTCATGAAGAGAGTGAGAGAAGTCAACAGAGCTCTGCTTCTGAGTCAGGCCATGGGTAAAGTCCCAGTCCCTCTGCTCATTATCTGAGTAACTGAGCCCAGTTTTCTCTCCTACAAAGAGAGAGGGACGTTAACACCTACTAATTGTGACTGTTGGGGAAGACAGTGATCTAAGCATGAAATCCAAAGCACCTGAAACAGGAACTCTCTCGTCACAAACTCCTAACAACAGAATGCAGCTCCACAAGCCAGGGACACAATGTATGTACGTGCATAGTCGAACCACATCTGGGACCACAGTGGTCTTCCAGATGGAATTTCCACCCAAATTAAAGGTCAACAATTTCTGTTGTAAAATATGGTGCTAAGAAACAAGAGAGATTTGTCATCACCATTTGATATTCAAGGAAAATATCATCCTTTACTCAAAAGAAATAACCTTACAGATATACTGCGGGTGGAAATCTACACTGTGTTTTCAGGATCTAACCCAGGGTTTGTATAAAAGGGTGGATAGAAGGACCAATGGAGGGAGGAAAGGAGGAAGAAAAGGGAAGGAAAGAAAGTGAGAAGAAGTAAGTTGGATGAATGGATGGAAGAGTGGAGCAGTAAGGTATGGAAAGAAGGAAAAGTAGATAGATATAGTATTTGGGTGACTGATTAGAGAATGGAGGAATGTGGTCAGATGGGGGATGATGAAAGAGATAGGTGGTCAGGTAAGTGGAAGATGAAACTGACTGAACTCCTTTCCATTTGAAGAATCTCTTAAGGTCCTTCAGATTCAATGCCAATCTCCAATATCCCTCACTCTTTAGCATTCCTCCCAGAAAACACCTACTTAACTGGGGTTCTTCATCTCGTAAGTATCTCAGGAATTATGCAAGGCACATATCTAAAGAGCCCTCAGTCAAGCCCTGGATTAGAGGTTTTCAAGCCTAGGGCCCAGGTACTTTGGTTATCTGTCTATTTCACAATCCTCACTCACCCTGTAGTRCTTTCTAAACCAAATTCTCTGATCCTTACGAATACTGGGGACTTGCAAATATTCTGAGCTGTCACAATGCTCAGCAGGGCCCCTAGCCCTCTAAATTCCTGTCAAGTTCCCATTCATCAGGAGAGTGCAGGCTGAGCTCAAGCCATTGGAACCACAAAACCATGCCCAGCTCCCCAGCCACCCAGCCATGTCTGGACTCTCAGGGCAGCTATTCAGCTTCAGAAGGCTTTTTCTCTCTCTCTCTCTTTTTTTTTTTTTTTTGCAGTACCAGGGATTCGGGGATTATCAGAAATGTATGTGTGTGTGTGTGTGTGTGTGTGTGTGTGTGTGTGTTACTGGGGATTGAACCCAAGGCTTCACACAAGCTTGGCAAGCACTCTACTGCTGAACTATACTCAGGGCCCTTCAGAAAACCCTATGCACTCATTTTTCATCCTGCTGCCTGGGGATGGGGTGGAGGGAGCTGAGGATGGCAGGGCTTGCTGCCTGTCCTTAAGTGGTACAGATGGGAATGAGAGAAGTGTTGTGGCTTCTCCCTGAAATCTCTGGTCTTTGTTGCTCCGACCTGTTGGACAAGGAGCTGGAGGGCTCAGCTGYTAACCTGCAAGGTCCAAGCTGTTCACAGTGTCCAGGAAAAGTGCTCACCATACCAGGGCAGGCTACTGTGTGGGCCAGGAGTCTGCACTGCCCTCCCTAGATCTGCCTGCCTCTAAGCAGTCTTGGCACTCTTGCAGATGGAACAGGAGGGTGTCACGGTGAAGGGCAGCCCCCACTTCAACCCAGACCCGGATGCGGAGATCCTCTACAAAGCCATGAAGGGAATTGGTGAGTGGGCATCCATGGCCTTGCCACTGGAAGGCTGGGCCTCTCTGGGTCTTTGCTTCTGCACTCATAGCCCTGGAAAGCTGATGCCAGGGGACAACTAGGGAGATAGGGTTCCTCATGATACTCTGAGAGTGACTGACTGCAAAGAATCACAAAGATGCAGGCTTCCCCAGTAGTGGTCAGCACCAACCCACCTACCAAGACCAAAGAAGAAGAGGACAGATGTTTCTCCCTGAATAATGGGGGAAAGGGGAGGCCATTTGCTGTGTGCTCTGGTGCAGTCTGAGTTTTCTCACTTATAAAATGGCCCCCCAAAAATCTGTATGGTTTATAATTTTGAATGAGATGATGTTGACACTGGGCCTGATGTGGTCAGTGGATGGGAGTTCAGTGGAGTGGAGCTGAACCCAGGGGCATCAATCATGTGTGTTCTGTAGTTGCTCCCCATTGGATCTATGTGCCCCCTTGCCTTTGGCCACCTGGGTACTGTAGGAGCATACTGGGATGGCTGGCCATGGAGTTGGCTTCCTCCTTATCTCCAGCATTGTTCCAATGCCACTCTCATCATGGCTGTGAGTGGGAAAGGCCCATTTGGATGGCCCAGTCAGAGGATAAGCCCTGGTCTCATCCCAGAAAGGATTCACTCCTTACTTGGCTCTGCCTGGTGACCTGGGGCATTAAGAACTAGCATTCTCAACCAAGGCCCTGAAGCTTTCTCACATAGCATCCCCTCTGCTTTCTGCTAACTTCTTTACTGTAACCCCATTTCCCAGATGAGAAATCAGAGGCTCTGAGAGGGAAGCCTGCTTGTCCAGTGGCACAAGGTCCATGAGCTGCTATAGGGGGTCTTAGATCCAGTGGTCTGGATACTCAGTTGTGACCTTCTCCCACTAGGACAATATGAGGAGTGGGGAAGGGATGGAGATCACACTTAACCAAGCTCCTAAGTTCCAGGGAGGAGGTCCAGAGCCATCTGGTCCTCAGATTCTATCCCTGTAAGGCTGGGCCTAAGCTACATTCTCTGTGTGGGTGGAAGGTGGAGAATGAAGAGGGGGCTTTTCAACTTGTCTTTACTCCTTGAAAATCATCAGAGCATTTGGCACTACCCAGGAGGTATGTCCCCACAGCTCAGCCACCAAGCAGTTGTTTTCCCCTGACCCCAACACTCTCTTGGTCCCCAGGAGGTAGTAGGGGTTTTCATGCTGTGTGCCTACAGGGACCAACGAGCAGGCCATCATCGATGTGCTCACCAAGAGAAGCAATGCCCAGCGGCAGCAGATCTCCAAGTCCTTCAAGGCTCAGTTTGGCAAGGTAAGGGGAGGGCTGGGGGTTGCAGCCTGGGAAGTGGCTCTGTTCTGAATGAGTCCCTTTTTTAGCGCCAGCTTACTGGAAATATGGACACACAGGACAGTCTTATATTAAACAATTATTCTCTATCCATCTGAAGTTCAAGTTTGAACGGACATCTATTTTATCTGGCAAAGTTATTTATAGCTGTCCAGCTCCAATCTGGTGTTGGTCTTCTATAGTCTGATCCCATTTCTTCTCCCACCTTCTCTCCAATGCATTTCTCACAGTTGCTCATGTTGCTTGGAGTTGTTTCCTGACTCTAGGTTTTGCTCCCTGAGGTTGGACCACTCTCTCATGACCCACAGTGCAGGCCCAATTCCCTTCTGTTTCATGGCACAGACTCCTTCTTCTTACATTGGAACTACATGCACTGCCCCCATACTTTTGGCCACCTAAGTACCGCAGGGGGATTCCACCTCTTCTGCCACTAGGATGGAACCAGACAATTGGAGGTGTACCCCAAAAGGAATAAATGCATTCATAGCCATGGTGGCCTACAAGTCTCCATTGGCCCAAACTGTTGGTGATTCAACCCAGGAAGATCAGTAATAAAGCCCAAATATTCCCTTGGAGAAATCAACATGCAGTTCTATAAGTCCTTTCCCTTAAATCTTCAGAGCTGTGCATTATTCTTTGCATTCAACCTTTGGAGAAACTAACATTCAGAGAGACTAATAATACTCAGGGTTCTAGTATCTGTAAGCAACAGGGTTGTGATTTGAATTCAGGTCTCACAAAGCCCTTGGTCTTTCTGTTGTTCCTATGCCGATTAGCTGGGTGTGGCCTTGTAGTTCCTTGTAGAGACATGTACCCTTAGAAAGAAACACATGTCAGATAAGACCCTTTCTTTCTTCTTTCATGCCTATGAGCCAAGTAACAGCCATTTAATGGTGATAAAAGCAGCACGCTTCCACCCTCAGAGCTTGCAGTCTGGTAAGCAATGGCTGTTTTGTTCTATTCTGAGTTTATGATGTKATCATCACTAGGCTTAGTGCTGAGTTAACTCACCTATCTCTCCATCACACCATAAGCAATGGTATGAAGCAGGAATCCATTATCTCTTTTCAACAGGTCAGGATGCTGATGCTTAGACAGGCTAACAAACTGGCCCAAGAGACCCCAGCCAACACATGGCAGAGCCCACAAGAGAATCCAGGCCTAGCCCCTGGGCCCAGATGCCACCCTGTTGCCTGTACTCCCCTGGGCCCAGAGGACAGATATAATCTCCTTTCTTTGTGTCTGCTTTAGGATCTCACTGAAACCTTGAAGTCAGAACTGAGTGGCAAGTTTGAGAGACTCATCGTGGCCCTCATGTATCCACCGTACAGATACGAGGCCAAGGAGCTGCATGATGCCATGCAGGTAATTTCTCTGAGCCACCATGTGGAATGACCACCTCATTGAGCTGAGCCCAGTGAGTTTGCTGCTCAGACAGCTGCCCAGCATAGGGATTGACTGGCTATGATGGTGCCCAACTCAGTACTTCTCAAAATGGGATCAGACCTGGAGTGGAATTAGAAAGCAAGTTTTGCAGTCCCACAAACAGTTTCTAGGGTACACTTTAAATGCCTCACTGTACATTTTATTTTGAAAGTTTAGGAGGCAYAAGGACCCCAGTGACAATGATCATTTCCACTGACAGGATGCTCACTGCATGGTTGGTGCCAGGCACTTTTTWWAAAAAAWAAATAATTAAATATATATGACAGCAAAATGCATTTTGATTCATTGTATACAATTTCAACACAACTTTTCATTTTTCTGGTTGTATACAATGTAGCATCGCACCCTATGCACCTATCTCATTCCACCATCTTTCCTACCCCCATGCACCCTACCCACCATCCCTCCTTTTTGCTCAAAGTTCCTCTATTTTTTCCCCTGTGTCCCCACTCCCTGTTTTGGATCACCATCTACTTATAAGAGAGAACATTTGGGCTTTGGTTTTTGYGATATTCCCCAACTCCATCCATTTACCTGTAAATGCCATAATTTTATTCTCTTTTAATACTGAGTGATATTCCATTATGTATTTATACCACAGTTTCTTTACTCATTCATCTATTGAAGGGTATCTAGGTTGGTTCCATTATTTAGCTATTGTGAATTGAGCTGCTATAAACATTGATGTGGCTGGGTTACTATAGTAAGCTGATTTTAAGTCCTTTGGGTATAGACCAAGGAGTGGGATAGCTGGGTCAAATGGTGGTTCTACTTCCAGTTTTCTAAGGAATCTCCAAACTGCTTTCTATATTGGCTGCACCAATTTGTAGTCCCACCAGCAATATATGAGTGTGTCTTTCTACATATTTGCRCCAACATTTATTGTTGTCTCTATTCTTGATGATTGCCATTCTGACTGACATGAGATGAAATCTTACTAGTTTTGATTTGCATTTCTCTCATTATTAGAAATGCTGAACATTTTTCATATATTTGTTGATCAAATATTTATCTTCTTCTAAGAAGTGTCTGTTGAACTCTTTAGCCCATTTATTAATTGGGTTGTTTTTTTGGTGTTAAGGTTTTCAAGTTCTTTATATATCCCTGTCAGGCATTTTACACTGATGATCTCTAATCTTTCTTCAGGGTGGGGGAAGTTTATCTTCCCTGTTTACAGGTAAAGATGCTTAGGTTCAGCAGGTGGGGCCACCTATATGAGACCACCCAGTTAAGGAGGGAGAGTTGGGATAGCTTGCCCCCAGTATCCATCATTGAGTACAAATGTGAGGTTTCCCCCTAGTCACAGCCTCCAAAAGAAGCCCCATTAAAGTTAAGAGAGTGGTAGCTGGTGCTTTCTGAAGCTCAGGCAACTGGAGAAAAACTGGTATGGACAGCTGGAGGCCATGGGTAGAATATTCCAGCACACAAATGTTTCTGTTCCCAGGGCTTGGGGACCAAAGAGGGAGTCATCATTGAGATCCTGGCCTCTCGGACCAAACACCAGCTGCAGGAGATAATGAAAGCATATGAGGAGGGTAAGACACCTGCAAAGATGGGTTGGGGTGGGTGGTGCTCACATGGAAATGACACAAGTTTGGGTGGCTGGGCAGGTAATGAGGGTTGATGGTGCACTGGAACATGATGCAAAAGACTTTTGGGAGGCTTTTCCACATGYAGATGTAGCTAAGCACCTACATGATTGAGATATTATCTCAAGGGCTCATGCGGGAGAAGCATCAGCCTCACCAAACTGCCCCTTGAGCACTGTTACCACAATCTGCTTCAACAATAGATGTGGTGGTTCTTTCCTGGCTGTGCACAGGCTGACCCAGGGAACAGTGGAAGATCGTCTGCTTGCCTCATTGTAATGGGGTATGGACTATTGGTCACCTATCCTGTGTAGTCTACGGGGTACAAGGAAAGCAGAGACCAGACAGGCCTCCATGTTGTGGAGCCAGTTTGTCTGAAAGTCTTGCTTTGTCAAACTTGGTGATGAAGTGGAGCTGTATCAGCAGGTCCTGGCCTGGCTATTTCACCTTGTCCATCTCTGTGATTTAAGCTTGGTTGGGCATTTATGTTACTTCTGGCTCTGAACACACAGGTGACTCTGCCACTTGGACATTATATTCAGGTCCTATGCCAAGAACTCATTCTTCCCAGAAGACTTTAATGGGGAGAGGAGTGGGAAACAGGGCTGGAAGGAGGAAATCAGGCCCTGAGTGGGCCCTGGGTTCATGCCTTCTTGTCACATTTCTCTGCAGACTATGGATCCAGTCTAGAGGCAGACATTCAAGGAGACACGAGCGGCTACCTGGAACGGATCCTGGTGTGCCTCCTGCAGGTATCAGCAGGTTCTTGGGTCCCCATGGCTTAGGGATCCCCACAGCTCACCCCAGGGAGCAGCCCTCAAGTAGAGCCACTGTGGTCTGGGCAAGGCCACGGGACAACCTAGATGCTTGTGTACATTTGATGCATCTCTGCATGGTGGAGGGGCCTGACTACAGAGCGCCTGTGCCCCTCCTGACTCATCCAGGTGAAGGCACCTTGAAAATGACAGGTGAGCACCCTGTCATCATCAGATCCTTCATATGGGTCCCATGCCAGGCTCTTTGCCTAGCTCTCTGAATGCCCAACCCTACAAGGCAGTGATTCTTCTCCTGTTATACAAATGAGAAATCCAGGGTTTGGAGAGAATAATTGGCTTTCTGAATGTCCATGGCCAAAAAGCTGCAGAGCCCTTCCTGTCCTTTAAGCCCCATTGTCCCTTCAGATCCAGCTGTACTGGTTGCCATCCTGCCTTACAGAGCTCTCCTCTGTGTTCCTAGGGGAGCAGGGATGATGTGAGTGGCTTTGTGGACCCAGGACTGGCACTTCAAGATGCACAGGTGAGGCTGTCTGTCCCTTACCATCTGGACTTGGAGAGCTTACTTGAGTACCACACCTGGCACATTTTCCCATGGAGCATTATTTGTCATAGCTTGGGACCTGCCCAGCTCACTTCTGCCCTCTGGTGTCTGAGGAGGAAAGTAGAGACGCTGGGGAGACAGAAGAAAGAAGAGTAATTTGTATTACTGGGAGTGGGCTGAAGCTCTGTCCTACCAGGACAAGCTCATAATCCTTGTCTCCCTGTGTCTGCCTACCAGTGGGGCACTCAGTGCTCAGTGCTGCCCGATGGCAGGGGAAGGGTTTGCATTTCCTAAAGTACCTTCAGTCCTAGTGTGGAAGAAAGATTTTAAGCCAGAGCTATTGGGATAAAAGAAGGACAACATAGTGAACTCCCTTTCATGCAGGCCTTGCCAAGTGAACAGGGTCTGACCATCAGGCCCAGCTCTGGGGCTCTGGGATTTTGTCCCTTAACTCTGTTTTCTTCTTTGCGGGCTTGTTCTGGGTGTCCAAATGCTAGGATCTGTATGAAGCAGGAGAGAAGATTCATGGGACTGATGAGATGAAATTCATCACCATCTTGTGCACACGCAGTGCCACTCACCTGATGAGAGGTATGGGGGTAGAGGGAGGCAACGCCAGGCATAGGAGCTGCCCTGGCCCTGGCTTCAGGRCCTCTCCTTCTGTGGTTCACATCCAGTGTACAGCTTTGTCAAGTTTCGGGGAGAGCAACAGAGCCTTGGATTCCGTGGCAACCCAGAGGGAGATGAGGGTGGGCTCTTTGATGTATAGTCTATAATCTGCGAGTTCCTTAAATGGAGCCCTCTCTCCGTAGTTTTTGAAGAGTATGAGAAAATTGCCAACAAGAGCATTGAGGACAGCATCAAGAGCGAGACCCATGGCTCATTGGAGGAGGCCATGCTCACTGTGGGTAAGAACTGGGGCACAGTGCTCACATGCACATAGGTCCATAGGCTCAGCTGTGGGACAACACCAAAGGGCAAMGGGCAAAGGGCCCAGGGAGGCAAAAACAATAAATAGGACCCCATATTCACCTTCATGAGTCCTCTCCACATCCCTCATGCTCTCAGCCTTTACCCTGGGATGGTCCCACCCCTAGAGTCTCAGTGTGTCTGTCCTGCCAAGGAATATTCTCAGTGCTGTCTATATGACATCCAGTGCCATATGAGGGTGTACATACGTGTGTAAGCAAGAGTGTGATTATGTGGGTGTAAATGTAAATGTGTGTGGATGTGCTTAAGTTGTGGGTGAGAATGTGTGCATGAGTATGTGCATGTCTGTGGGGATRTGTTTGAAAGATAATGTGTGTGTGTGTGTATGTGTGTGTGTGTGGATGTGTGCGTGTATATGCAAGAATGTGAGTATATGCATGAGTGTGTGCAGTTGTGTGACAGTGTGTTTGAGAGATTGTGCTTCATGTGTGTACACACACATGCACAGGGAGAATTCTGATTCTGGTTGTGAGGCCTTGAACAAATCTACCCTTCTGGACCTGAGCCAGGGGCCCAGGCCCCTGTCTTAGTTGCCAGTTGCAGAAATGATGGCGTGTGATTTGCCAACAAAGGGTTGGTAGTGTTGAGAACCTTCTCCACAGCAGGAAGACAGGTCCACTTAGCARGACCCATTCCAGAGCCCATTTTAAGATCCAGAGCTGAGATCACCATAGAAAGTCATTGCAGAGTAGAGAGCTGTGGCCAAGGCAGAGGGCCCTCTCCTCTGCACCTCACACAATGGAGCTGAGGTCAGGGCTCCTGGACTGGGGCACTCATCTCCACACTAGGTTGCCTCCCAGCAGCCAGAGTGCTCCTTCCTCATCCCTGTCTCACTGGTAAATGTTTACTGAGACTCCCCAGCCAGCTATGAACCTGGTGATAAAGGACTTAAGGGCTGACAGTGTTGCTGAAATTGGGGTAGTGGGTGTACTTAGATGCTCCAACATAGGCCATTCATTTCTCCTAAAAGCCTCACTCACTTTCACATCACAGATGAGTCAGGGATATTAGCAATATAGTCAGATAGGGTTTAAACATGTGCCTACATTCCTCAAAGCCCACACTTCTTCGGCAGTCCTGGCTGCAAAGAAGGGGTATGCTCACTTAACCAGGTGCCCCCGGTGCCTTAGTCCTACTTGGCTGAGCCCCACTCATCACATGGGAATTAAAAATGCAGGGGTCCTGCTGATAGAGCTCTCTAAGGTCATGGCCACCATGCTGTGATGCCTCTGTAGAGCTGAGTAGCTAGATTCTTGATGGTGCCATGTCTGGGTGAGAGCCCAGGGACAGTCTGGGTCTAATGTGSCCTTTGGCTTTTCTAGCTCTGTGGATGCCACATGGATTTCACTTCCCCCTTTTGCCTGTCTGCTCTGGGCCTTTGGAGCTATGCGTAGTGCTCCAGTCTCCCTTCCTAGCCTCACCCCCTGCACAAAGCTTTGAGGGATGTAGGCAAGTAGTTAATCCCTGCCTCAATGATGAAGTGTGGCTTTGTTGCTTGATATCCCTGAGTCATCTGTGACATGAAAGTGAGTCAGTCTTTAAGGAGAAATGAACAGGAAGTGTCCACCACAGTGGGGCCTTGCACACCTCCACTATTCCCTGTCAGAGGATATTAAATTAGGTAGGGCACAAAGAAATGTGCAAGACTTGCAAGGATAACCTTTAAGACCTGAGGCAAAGCATAATTAAAATGAAGGCGTGTGTAGTACTGCCTACAACTTTGAGATGCTAACAGAGCTTTTCTGTTTGACAGTGAAATGCACCCGAAACCTGCACAGCTACTTTGCAGAGAGACTCCACTATGCCATGAAGGTAACCATTGGGTCTACTGACTCCCTTACAATCAGTCATATGTGGCACCAACTGGACCACCAGGGAGCTCAGAGCCAMCACTGTCTTCACCACTGGGGTTTCTTTTATTCTCATTTTTTGTACATCAGAAAGATTTTAGTTGTCAGGGAAAACTGAGTCTAGAGAAGGGAAGTCACATCTCCTACAGGGAAATTTGAACAGGTACATGCTTGGGTGTCCAAGGTACTGAACATTTATCATTCTGGGAGACCCGTGTCATAATTGCCATCCTAGAGATATGTACAACTGAAGCTCCCATTCAAGATCACCCAGCTGCTAAGTGGCAGAACTGTGACTTGAACTCAAGCTGGTCCCTTTGTTTTCATTGTATCACAGGGTCTCTATGAAAACAGATTTGCTACTAGAGGTCACAGGCAAGAATCGCAGGAATGAAGGTCAAGTTCATAGGAAAATGGCCACACATAGCACACATCTACCTGTGATAACTTGCCTTTTGTCCAGAAGGCTACCCTAGTCACAAAAACAGATGCCCAAGTCACCCAAAACATTTTCTGGTGTCTGGAACCTAAGGGGAAGAGAGTTAACTTAATTCTCCAATAATAATGTCAGTGCCCTCCTTCTCTGATATATGGTTGTTGACACCATCCGAAGTAAGAGCCATACCAGAAATCTGAAGCCCCAGAAGTTAGAAAAGGCATGGGATTCCCAGGTAGCTTCCTCTGAAATGAGACTGCTCAGGTATGAAAGCGTGGGAAAGTCCTGTTTATGAAATGGCCAGATAAGTCAATTTTGAAGTGCTGCTTCTCTAGGAAGAAGTATTCTTTCTGGAGCTCTGATTTTTTGTGTCTAGAATCTAATGTGGCAAACCAAACACCCAATGCATTTTGGCTTCTAAAAAGGAAAGAGGCCTGAGCAGTGAGTGAAAAGAGATTGAGCTTTGTCCATGACTATGGAGGTGGACAGGAAAGATGAGAAATGATGGTTGACTGCTGCTGTCTCATCCAGGGAGCAGGGACACTCGATGGGACCCTGATAAGGAACATTGTTTCCAGGAGTGAAATTGATTTAAATCTTATCAAGAGTCAATTCAAGAAAATGTATGGCAAGACCCTCAGCAGCATGATCATGGTAAGTCATGAGTTTCCAGCTTTAACTCCAGTTTGTGACATAGACATAGGAAAGGGGGCCCTACTCAGTCTAGATTTAAGTAGTCCTGGAAGAAAGGTTTCAGGGAAATAAATTGGGCAGGCTTCAGAGGATTGCTTAACCAGATTTTGATTAGTGAAAGTTCTAGAGTCTTCAAATGTAGAGTGATTATTCCACAGCTATAAATTTGAGAAAAAATAGCTCATCTGGCAATCGATGCAAATTGAGACCCTGGCAATTTCATTAACATAAGTCAAATCATCACATATGTGTCCAAGTTTTCATTGGCTAGTAAGTGAAGTCACTAGTTCTTCTACAAAGTTTGGTGGCTACTATATTTTCTGGCAAATACATAGTTGACAGCACAATTTGTCCTAGGTCTCTTTGGAGTCCACATCCCAGGTTCTGTATCTGTAGATTCAATCACAGAGAATCAAAAATATTTGAAAAAAATTGCATCTGCATTGAATATGTACAGGCATTTTTTATTGCCATTATTCCCTAAATCATACAGTAAAACAACTATTGACATTGTACTTATATTAGGTACTATAAGTAATCCAGAGATGGTTACATGAGTATTTGAAAGGATGAGTGCAGGTTATATGCAAATACTGCACCATTTTATATAAGAGACCTTAGCATCTGTAGATTTTTGTACCCATGGTGAGAGGAAGACCTTGGAATCTATTCCCTGCTGAGATGAATGTATGTTTAAATAAAACACTTCTGCTTTAAGATGTTTCAGAATGGAGAAGCATGCAGGCAGCGGGTAGGGAAGGACTGGAATTATTCTTTGTTTTGTTTTGTTTTAGACTTCCCAGGCAACCTTGTCAGGAGACAGAAGGGCTAAGCTCAAACCAGCCTGGGCTGCTACTATGTCACCCACAGGCAGTTCAAGCAGATTGTCATGAATTCTCTCAACCACACATGGCTACTTATGCCACTGGAAAGATTTCTGTTCCTTCTCAGCATTCTATTCAGATAGAGACACAGTTCATTTCCAAAGAACAAAAACTCTGTTAGGTAAAATGATCACTTCAACCTAAGATGTAGATCCCATGGTAGATATGAAAACTTAGCAAACTAATGATTTGAGACAAAAGTGCGGCTGTTTTATCCAGCAATAGATATTGATTTTTGTTTTCTAATGTTGTCCCTTAAGAAAAATTCAGATGGAGTTGTGAATGCACTGACCAAACATTTTTTTTAGAAAATGTAGTTAAAAATCAWTAAGATTCTCAGTAAATTTTCCTAAACTATCAAGGACTAGATAATTCCTATGAGATTTAAGCTGCTTCAGAGCAAAGCAGAATCAGCTCCAGTCCTACCCTCTACCTACCACACGACCTTGGAGGAGTCCATCACCCTCTCTTGGTCCCAGTGCCCTCAACCACAGAAAAAGGGAACTGGACGGTTTGCCCTTGCCTGTTCCCCTGGCTCTACATGCAGATCCTTGACTAGYCAGTCCTGCCGAGACCAAGAAATGACTAAGAAATGGAGTCATTGGATCTGTGGGGTCCCTCTTATAGTGAAAGGAACTCTAATCCTTACATGAGCTGGTTGCTGAGCAGGCAGGCTCAACTCCTTCCTACCACTCTCTCCTTACTACATCTCAGCAAGGTGCCTGCCAACATCAATGGCATTTGATAGAGGGGAGAATGTCTCACAGAGGTTAAGGGATGGTCAATGACACAGCCAAGGGTCATGTCTGAGATCTCTCCACCCCATGGCACAGCCTCCCGTGATAGCACCCTGCTTTCAATCTTGGTGAACTTGTCAGCTTTTAATTGCTGTGAATAACAACCTACAGGAGGGAAGATTTATTTCAACTCATGATTTTAGGGGTTGCAGTCCCTGGTTCACTGGCTCTGTTTCTGTGAGCCTGTGGTTCAGGCAGAGTATCAGGGAAGAGGGGATGTGGTGGAGCAAACCTGCTTCCCTCATGGAGCTTGGAAGCAGAGAGAGAAGGAGAAAGGGGCCAGGGACAAGAAGTAYCCTTCAGGGTACCCCTAGTGACCTACTTCCTCCAACAAGCCCCCACCTACTACAGTTTCCACTAACTCCTAATAATGTCACCAAATTTTTAATCTATCAATGCATTAAGCTACTGATGAGGTCAGAGGCCTCATCATCCAATCATTTTCTAAAAGATCCACCTCTGAACATGGCTGGATTGGAGACCAAGCCTTCAACACAAACTTTTGGTGGATATTTCAGATTCAAAACGTCACACTTGCCTCCCTGAACTGCAATAGCAGGTGTTGAAAAAATAATAGATCACTGTTGAGTGAGTGAATGGTTAACTGAGTGAAACCTGAGAAAGGGCCCCAGGGCAATTGATGGGGTAAGAAAGTCACCCACACACTTTTTTGTATTTAAGAGCATACTGTTTCTGTGATTCATTTTTTCACAACCATGTCCCATGGAATTAGTAAGAAAAAAAAAAAAACGAGATACAAAGGAGTAGTCTGAAATGAAGAGCAAGGAAAGAAGAAAAGTAGGGAGCCTGCGGTGCAGGAACACCTGAAGGGCTGGGTCCCACCCAAGGAGAACAACTTCTAGTAATAATAAATAGTGGGTGCTCTTGAGGAGCCAGATCAATGTCACGAACATCCCCCTTTTAATTCTCCTGTGACTTCTGCCTTCAGGATGACACCAGCGGTGACTACAAGAATGCCCTGCTGAGTCTGGTGGGCAGCGATCCCGATCCCTGAAGACACTGAAGAATGAGAGCAGAGGCCAAAAAGCTAGAGACTCCAGGCCCTGCTGGCACAACCTTGGCAATGGACGGGGGTGGGGGTGGGAACCTCAGCCAGGCTCTTAGACTTCTATCCCTAGTTCCCAGTGCTTTTCAGTCAATATTTCTTATTCAGAGGATGAAACCAGCCTGGGGTTCCTCTTTCTACCCTTTCCTCTGGTCATTTTTAGGTATGTGTACCATGCCAACCTTAGATACCTCTAGCCAGACAAATACATCAGCATGAAGGGGCCTTCTGGGGCTCAGTGGTCTTTTTTTTTACTTTCTAGACAGGTGTTTCTCAAGTTTGATTGATCAGAGAATCACCTAGGTACAGGTTACAGAGATCCCTTGGCTCTGCCCCCATCTACCGAACCTAGGTCTTCTAAAGAAGACCCAGGAATAGCTGTCTCAGCTAAGATGTGTTTTTCTATCAGGCAACAGTAAGAATACCATGAAAACCCTCTTGTTGTAGAGCTCACACCCCGTGGGAAGCTGGGAAAGGGACACTTTTTCATGCCMACTAGGATGCCTATAATAAAACTCATTCACAAGCCTCATCAGAAATCTTGAAGCTTTAGATGGAAGAGAAATTCTCATATCATCCTGATAAGAGAGTAATTAGACTACAAATCCACATTCTGACCCAAGGACGCTATGTCGAAAGAGTCTGAGACTTCTTCAGTTGCCAACCAACTCCTGACACAGCATGCAGCAGAGGGCAGCATGCCAGACCCTGAACACAATTCTTACCCTGACCCAGTGGCCACTGAGCCCAGACACCCAGAGAAGCTGAGGGTAGTCTTTCCAAATATGTTTCATTTTCAGAATAATAAAAATTTATGTAATGAAAAAGTGTCTTTGGATTTTTAACAGTGACAGATTCAGCCCAATTTCTTTTGTCAGAAACATATCTTTGGGGAGCAGTTAAACCTCAACACCTTGTGGGCATTTCCCTGAAGGAACACGGAGGGTGAGCAGTGCCCACTGTTGCCCTGGGGACAAACCTGTGAATGGGGATAATTTCTAGTTACTTTCTGATTTGTAGCCAATATCTCAGGGTTGAAAGGGGCTTTGAAAGTCACCTGGTCCTGTTCCAGCCCGCAGCTTGACCACTCTCCCTGGCATACACCCAGGAGTGATCCTTGGTGTCCTAGAGCTATGCTCAATATGGATCGAGTACACTGAAGTGACTTCAGAAATGAAGACTAACTGCTTTCTGGGAAGGCAAAATCTTTTTCCAACTGAGCCCAAACTTGCCCTGTCATGCCCACTGCTCTTAACTCTGCCATCTAGAGCCACAATGTTTATTCTTTCCTAATAACAACATTTTGACATCTGAAGAAGGCCCACATATTTCAGTAAACCTCTGGCCAAAGGTAAATGCCCCCATTATCTCCACCCGTTGGTTGGAATCTGATTTGAGATCATGACCTATGAACATGCTCCATTTTGCAAACTCCAGAGTGTATCTCCAAAGGGTCTGGACATGTCAGGGAGACAAGAGCAGTGTGGGCTCTGAGGTCACACACATGGGTTGTGGATTTGGGGTTCATGACTCTTACTAACTGACTTTCTGTAAAATTTAGTTCCCTTGCATTTCAGTGCAGGGTGGAGTCCTGGTTTAGATTGCTGCCTTAGAGCTAGTGTTATAAAATCATCATTTAATGGTACTCCCAGATTGTGTAGATCTAGAATTCAGCCAGGATACCCCACAGATGGCTTATCTCTACTGCTGAAAATCTTTGTTGGAATGATCTAAACTTGGGGTGATTATAGAGCAGGAGGTCTCCATCACATGGAATATTCTTCATTTCCACATTTGGTGTCAGGGTGTGGAGACTGAAAGGCTGGCCTCAGCTGGGTCCTGGGAGCTCTGACATGCAACCTTTCCATCATGGTGGCCTTGGGTTGGAAAGATGCCCTAAGTGGCAGCTCAGGACACTGGGTTCATCTAGTGGATGAAAAGCAGGCAGCATTGCCCTCTGTGATGTAGACTCAGGAGTCACACTGCATTACTACTCTGCCCCTCGTTGGTCAAAAAATATCACTAGCCATCCATCCAGCTTCAAGAGGTAGGGACACAGACCCCACCTGTCAATGAGAGGAGGGTCAAGGACTTATGAGACCACTCTTTAATCAAAAAGTGGTACTCAGGTTATTCAGCTGGGTCAGCACAGCCCACTTACCTGTATGGCCGATGCCTGTAGGGCTGGAACAAAACTCCAGAGGCCCCTGTAGGGCCAGGCCTTGAGCCTTGGTGCTGGGTGGAGGGTTTATGGGACACCAGGGAGGCTCTGGGGGTGAAGGGCAAGAGCTACATTCCAATATATCTTAGTCTGCACAAGTTGTCATGATAGCATACAGTGGATAATTGGGTGACTTAAGCAACAAAATTTTTTTTCCTAATACCTCTGGATACTGGGAATTCTAAGGTCAAGGGGGAGCCTATGTAGTTTCTGGTGAGTGCTATCTCCTAGCTTTCAAAAGGCTTCCTTCTGTACTTATCTTCACATGGCGTATGCTTGGTGCTTATACTCAGAGACACAAAACTCTCTTTCTCCTCAAATGGTCACTAATACCATCATAAAAGTATCACCACTTTATGAGGTTAAATGACCTCCTCTAACCCTAATGACCTCTCAAAAGCCCCATCTCCAAATACCTTCACACTAGGAGCTGGGATTCAACAGCAAACATTCAGTCCGTAGCACAGCAGTGCTGAGGTCCCCGCAGTTTCACATCCACCTTTAACAGCTGTGCCAGGGTGGGGCACCCAGACACTGGCCCTGCCTGATGATTCTCCTTTTCTCTTTTTTAGTTCAAGTTCTGCCCTGAACTTCCTCTCAATGCTGAGTTACTCTCTGACCCACAACTGCTTTCTTCCTAAATGCTTTAAGAAGAACTTAGAAGACTCCTCTGCCCTGTAGTTCTGTTCCCACTTGTTTTCAAGGCTTGGGATTCGTTTGCAGTCCACCTGAGAAAACCCTCACATGAGCTATGAGCAAAGCTGAGGCTGTCCAGGAAATGACAGCATGCCCAAGTGTGTGCCCAGCAAGGCCATCTCTTTTAGCAGAAACATGATGCTTATGCATCTCACAATGGACCAGAAGACACTCCTGCCCACAGAAGAGAGGAGTGGAACAGAGTAGAAACAGCAGGTCCCCTCAGATTAGAGAGGATGTGTTCTCTCCCTGGAGTCAGAGCTAGAGAAGTGGCTCCAACTGAGTGTTATATATTAGGTGACTCTCATGTGACTCAGGAAACAGGACGTCCTGGCCAGGATGCACCTCCAAATCAGCTTTGCTGGAATAACGTTTTGGATACTTCTCATCAGTCACACTAAAAAGTTTTTTTTTTCTTTTTTCACACTTTCATGTTTTAAAAGAAAATTTAATGTCTACTTGCCATTATTTGGGCAAAGGAGAAAAATAAGGGAATCGTGACAAAAATGCTTTGCTTAGCCAAAATTTAATCAGGCTCCTGAAACTTTTCCTAAGCCTATCAGTACGCTTCCTCATAAAGTCTAGTTTGAGCAAGAACCCTTTGAAGCCAGCGCAGCAAGAGCCCCCATCTTCCATATCTGATTGCCTTTGTCACTCCTCATCCACTGCATCTGATGTCTGATGACCTTGGCTGTCTTCAACAAAAATTCTGTCTCATCGTTTTAGCCAGAATCTCCCTGACCCTGATGTTTTCTCTTGGTAGTTTTCTACCACTGACCCTCTCATCCTGCTCCTTGGCCTCCCTGTCTTTGCTGTATCCAGAACTGAGCTCAGCTCTACGTGAATCTGTCTTACCTCGAGGCCACCTTCCTGAATTGAATCCATTTCTATCCCTTTGATTATTTTCCAGCTCTTATTTTTAGATATTCCCTGATCACTAATATCATCATTAAAGTCTCACCACTTTATGAGACTTTTGTCATTGCTCTGTAATGACAATAGTGTGTTGTGTTATTGCCTTTTAACCCTCTGTTAGAGATTGCATTCTTTTTTAATCATTGGCGGACACAACATTTTTGTTTTGTATGTGGTGCTGAGGATCGAACCCGGGCCGCACGCATGCCAGGCGAGCGCGCTACCGCTTGAGCCACATCCCCAGCCCGAGATTGCATTCTTGAACTTTCTCCATTCTCAGATCAAAGCTTTTATTTTTATTAAAGGGGCTGGATCCTTTAACTTGCATCACAGCCCTAACTGGCAGACAAGGCTAGAACAAGATCCAGAGAACGGAATTTGAATTTTTCCTACAGTGTGGACTGAGACAAGGATTTCATCCTGTGTGGGATTCTGTGAGCTGACAATAAGCTTTCAGAATTTTATTTTTCTTTTTTTAACTGTTCAGTGAATGTTCTTTTTAGCAACTAAGAGCTCTCTTTTACTACAGAGTTCCTGCCCTAATAGTATCTTATCTGGTTATATGTCTCCTGAAGAAAAGCTCTGAGTCCCATAAAGGCAAGTACTTGGAATATTTGAATATTTGGTCTAGCACATAGCAGGTACTCAGTGAATATCTTTAAATAAACAACAACAATTAAGAATAGAAAATTTGAAAAGAAAAAAAAATTTCTACAAGGCAGTGAGTTTTGACCAAAGCTTTCTAATCAGTGATTGTGAGAAGACTCTGTAGGCCCGTTGGACTTCCCTATGGAAGGAATCCTCAGACAACACTGGAGAAAAAGGTCTGGGAAGGATCTAAGCAGGGTGAGATCTGTTCTCAACTCTTTTGGCACAAACTCGGCCCCAGCCCTTGTTTTAGGTTCTGCCACTTGCCACCCCAGCACCCCCAGTTCATGCCCTGAACACACACCTAGCACTGATTTCATGCTCTTGTAGGGAAAAGGCTGTTGTGCTCAGCTTGACTTATTGAGCGTGTGTCCTTGAGCTAGAGAAGGGTTGCCTTTCTGAGGGTTGAATATTTGAGCAAATCAGGATTCTTTAGGAAGGGATAAATCAGGGGAAAATGGATTTGTGGTGAGCAACATATGTTGTC